GGGGACTCGACTAAAGTTAAGAGGAAGAGAAGAAATTGTGCAGTAGTGATAATGGTGGCTTCCACACCTGAAGTCACTTCCCTAAAGTGACTGAATCACACTGGGAGCCCTCAGTTGCTGGAAGTTAGTAATTATCTCTGCAAGGAGTCAAATTGATTGCTCCACGGGTGTCCTGAACCTTTAGAAAGTGCTGGCAGTAAAGGCAGCTGGGCAGGGCAGCAGGTGAGGTGCTCAGACAGCCCTGAGCAGGAACAATGATGCCTCTTGTGCTTTGGTTTGGCCGGAAATTGACAGCAATTCTCTTGCTAGGTTTTATATAAACCAGACAACCTTCACATCTTTTTTTAAAAAATAATAATTTTTAGTTGTAGATAGACACAATGCCTTTATTTTATTTATTTATTTTTATGTGGTGCTGAGGACCGAACCCAGGGCCTCACACGCGCTAGGCAAGCCGCTCTGCCACTGAGCCACAACCCAGCCACCTTCACATCTTAATTCTCATTTTCAACAAGTAGATGTTATTCTCCCTAACCCCTGCACCCAGCGAAGTCTAATATTTCTCCCAGAGCAAGCCCTCAAGCTGGCTCAGACTTTCTCTCTCCTGGGTTTTAATGCTGTTCGTTATTTGAGCATATTGACAGATGGTCTCTGTGAGGCTTGGGCCCCTTCAAGAGCCCACAGAGCATCATGGAGCAGCTGCCTACATACCAATCAGAGCGTGAGGCGGGGAAGCTCCACTAGGACTTAGCATCTCGCTTCCACCAGGACTCAAGGGGAAGTTCATAGCTGGCACCCAGGGATGTTGCAGGGGCACCCAGGATGACACCAGAGGCTCAGAGCCCACACCGGGCTCTCAGCTTTGGTGACTCTCTCAAATGACTCAGGACCTTTACATTCTTGTCCCTTGCCTATTTGGGTGGTGGATCACCTGGGTCCTGCTTCACAAGCAGGGTCCTGTTTGGTTATTTTAGAGAATTAGAAAAATCATTCCATAGGTCCAGGACTACATTAATCAGGGGAAATGAGTAAACCCCCCCTCCATCAGTAAGAGACAGCAGGTCAGCCCAGGCCCCTCCTTTACTCTGGGACTCTTATTACACCGAGGTTGAAATTGTGTGAGGCCAAGCCAGAATCCAACCTCTAGCCCGAGGCGTGGACTCTTGAATCCTCAATTTTGCTTGGAAATAGCCAAACATGGATTTTTGCCATCATTGAGACGTTCTTGTTGGTGGGCTTCTCTTCTTCCCCACCTTCCCCTCAGGTTCCCAGAGTAGCAGAACCAAGAGCAAGCACCCCAGAAATAACCAGGCAAACTTGCACGCTGCCCCACCCAGTCTGGATCATCCTCTTTGAGAGCAGCAAGGGGAACAGCTGGGCCGTCCTGACCTGGTGGCCAAAGCGCACTTGGAGGGCTGAGCTCTCTGACTCTGTCCTGGAAGCCTCCCAGTGGTAGAGTCATTCTGTCAGGGCTCTAGGCCTGGAGTAGAGCCTGCAGGGACATTCATGTTGCTCTCTCCTGATGCCAGCAGAGCTTTCGGGCCAAGGACACCTGGCCACCGCCCTGATCATTGCCATGTCCACCATCTTCATCATGGCCATCGCCATCGTCCTCATTATCATGTTCTACATCATGAAGACGAAGCCTTCAGCCCCAGGTGACTGCCCTGTGTCCCTCCCCGTCCCTCTGGGACACTCTGTCACCTTGCCAGTGGGGGAACCTGGCTGCTCACTCCCTCCCTCCTGTCTCTCCAACCAGCCTGCTGCACCAGCCCCCCAGGGAAGAGCGTGGAAGCCCCAGTGAGCAAGGACGAGGAGCAGAAGGAGGCCCCAGGTCTGTGTACACAGTTGGCGTGCCAGCGCACTCGTGGTGTCCAGCACTACAGTGGACAGCGTCCACCCTCCTCCCAGCTTCCCAGCTGGCTGCCCCTGCTCTCGTGCCTCTCGGGACAGGAGGTGCGCCCACAGTGTCTCACCCTGGCAGCATCGTGGTCACGAGGCAGTTCTGCAAAGAGGAGGAGCAGGGGGAGCCAGGCTGAGAACCGGGGGCATTTGCTAATCCCCTCCCCCCAACTCCTCTTTCCCTGCAGACGACGTGGTGATTTTCTCCGAGAAGGATGAATTTGAGAAGCTGACAGCGACGCCGGCAAAGACCACCAAGAGGTATGTGGAGCTGGGGCAGGCTCTGGCCACCTGGTGGCACAGCCCCAGGCCCAGCCCCTCCACACTGGGTCCCGATTGGAACCACTTCTCCCGCCCCCATCAGCCTTGTCCTGTTTTGTCTCAGCTCTCCCCTTGGGTTCTTCCAAGATTTCTTGTTCCCAAAAGTAGAAAAAAAGAAGTAGTCAAAAAGACAGAGGCAAGTCCTGTGACTTGAGTTTCACCCCAATATGGGGGAAATTGGAGGACCCTACTTGGAAAAAAACACATACTATCTCATATATAAAAATATTAAATAAAAATCAAAACTGAAAACTATAAAATAGACAACAAGGCCCTGAGCTTTGGTCCCTGCCCACCACTCATGGGGCTTAGTGACGAGACCTCATGGGGGTCTGGGGGGAAGTGGCCTCTCCCTCTGGCTTGGTCCCAGGTGCAGACAGGAATGAGCCAGCCAATGCCAGTAAGGCCCCCAAGTCTAATGAGGAAGCAGGCCTGCAGGGCCTTCATCATTGTTTTTATTTTATTTGTATTATCCTGGCTCTGAGGTTGTGTTTGCATATGGGCTTCATGGCTATAACCCAGTTACTGGCAAATACAATCCTTTTTAAAGGAAAAAAAAAAAAGGTTTCAGCCAAACCACAGGAAGTAAAAAGGAAGCCTACAAAAAAAGAATATTGTTTTTCATATATTTGGATTGCCAGGGCCAGCACTGGGTCCTGTGTGGCCTGGGCAAAGAACAGTAACGTGGCATGAGCCCAGGCCTGTCTCATATGACCACCCAATCTGCCCACCCTCCAGGGCTTGCTGTGAACCCCACAATGCACACAGCCAGCGAGGAAGCCTCACTAGCCAAGAGGGGGCTTCCCAGGCACGGGGCCCCACTCACTTTGTTTCCAGTTATTCTTGAAAACCTGCACGGATTCAGTGCCAGCCACATAATCTTGTCTGCTTAACATGAAGACGCAAGGTTGAGCTCGGTGCTTATTGAGATGAAATACAGGAATCTAGAACAAATTCAGTGAAAACTTTTTGGGCATCCACTGTGTGTCAGAGGGCCTGAAGACCAATCTTCTTTTTATTATCATTTCATACTGTGGTTGACCCTCGATGGCAGCCCATGGCCCCTGGGGGCTCCCGCTGCACCTGCGTGAACTCCCTGCCGCCCCCCCAGACACCTGCAGGTCTCTCCACATGGGACTTGCTCCTCTGGAAAAGATCAGGGAACCCAGGTGCGAGTTTCCCATCTCAGGTCTCCTCACCTGGAGCCCACAGATGCATCATAAATGCAGGAGGAGCAGTTCCCTGCAGCCGACTGTCCACACCTGGGCCACAGGGCACTGCCAGGAGACTGCCAGGGCTGTGGCCCCCCCACACTATTAACAAGCGCCCCTCTTGTTTCCCCAGTGAGAACGACGCCTCCTCTGAGAACGAACAGCTGCTGAGCCGGAGCGTGGACAGTGATGAGGAGCCAGCCCCCGACAAGCAGGGCTCCCCGGAGCTGTGTCTGCTGTCGCTGGTGCACCTGGCCAGGGAGAAGTCTGCCACCAACAAGTCAACTGGGGTGAGGCTCTGACCTATGTGGCACTCTGCCCACACCCACCATGAACCTGTGCAGTGGCCTCTCGCCACCAGCCAAGACTTTCCTATTGCATAAGTTCCTGTGAGATAGTGTCCAAGCGAGGGTACTGGACAGAGTGACAGGTTGACAAGACAGCCATAAATAGAAAACGTTTTCCTTTTATTATATTGTTTCATAGATGAAAAGGGAAATAAGCTGTAGAAAATATTTAAAATCACTTAGCCAGAGTCCAGAGAGAAAAAAAAAAAAAACAACCTTTGTAAACGGACAGGCATGTATCCGCCACATACACATATATAAAATGTGCATGTCACAGTCAGTCCTTTTATGAATGCAGATTCTGCATTCACAGATTCAACCAACCACAGTATGAAATAGTAAAACAAACAAACAAACAAAAAACTGGGTCTGTACTACACATGTACAGATGGTTTTCCACATCGGGGTTTCTAGAACAATATAGTGTAACAACTACTGACACAGCATTTACCTCGTATTAGTTATTACGTTACCTAAAAGTGACACAGTAGGTAGCAGGGTGTGCATAGGCTCTATGCAAATACTACACCATTTTATATAGGAGACCTGAGCATCTGCAGATTTCAGTATCCAGGGAGTATAGAATGACTTATTAGATGATGATGATGATGATGATAGATCATAGATTTAAAAAAAGATATTTCTTGTATCTTTCATATATAAGTAGTACAAATTGTCCACAGGGCTTTACCACCTAAAGCCAGCCACCCTGAAGTGATGTTTGGGGCACATGCTATGTTTAGTCGATGCTTCCAGGCAACTCTGTTGCCTGGCAACGTCCCTGTTGGTGAAATGTCCTACTGGGATCCTGGTCTGGCCTGGTTCTGCTGGGACACCCTGTTCTGGGCTGCCCTGTGTTCAGCAACCTTTCTTAAAGGGCCACCATTTGCAGAGACCTAGAGGCCTATAGGGTTGCTACAAGAGTTGAATGGCTATGGCCACAGGACTTTTCAGCCAGGGCCTCTCAGCACCTTTCCTTGCAAAGAGCTATCTGCTCCAGGAAAGAGAGTCCCCCATAGCTCTGCTGGCTGCTGAATGCTGGCCAACTGGGGATCCCCACCACCATGCTTTCAAACACACCGATGGCAGGTGTTTAGTTAACCTAAGAAGCGCCCCTGGTGTGCACCAAAGGTGTTTCTGTGGAAAACCTAAGGAAATCCTTCTTCCTGCTATGTTTGGACTGTTTTTTGCCTGAAGGATTGGTTCAGCTATCAGGGCAAAGCCCCTACTGCCAGTACTAAGATAGGAGACTTGGTTCTTCGCTACTATTGTGTCCCTTTCTGCATCATTACATTATCTTAACTTTCTTTCTTTCTTTCTTTCTTTCTTTTGTAGATCCAAAGCAGAAGGAAAAAAATATTGGATGTGTATGCCAATGTGTGCGGTGTCGTCGAAGGTAAGTGAGAAAAAGTTGCCCAGAGGACACTTGCCTGAAGTGATCCCCACTGACCTGCCCTGATATCGATTGTGGGAAGGGGTACTAAGGAAAGTCGCCCACCTGACTTGTCACTCTCCACTCAGAATAGCCACCTGCACTGACTTCGGGTGTAGAGGGTAAACGAATTTGGCTTCAGCTAGTCTGAGGCATCTCCCTGGCATTTCCCGTGGCCTTTCCCCTCACAGGAGAGGAGACAGCCCCAGGTGTGTGCTCAGGGCAGTGACAAGTGGGGTGAGGAACATGTAGCTACAATGCCAAGTCCATGGGCATCATCAGCTGGGAAATATCACCATCAGTTATTTATCCAGTGCAGTCAGTGGTGACAAACAGTGGGACACACTCTGAGAAATGCACAGACGATTTTGTTCCTGCATGAACACCAGTGGGTCTCCACACCAACCAGATGACTACGGTATCACTATAATGTCATACGATCTTATGGGAGCACCATGGTATTTGCAGTCTGTCCTTGATGGAAACATCATCATGCAGCACAGGGCTGTACCCAGCAGTCCTTTCCCTTCCCTCCTGAGGTTCACAAAGTATAATGGCCTTCGAGGGCCTCCCACCTCTGTTCCCAAGCTGCCTCCTAAGAAGCAAATTCAGACTGCTTTGTGGTAACCCGAGGCATACCTGGTGTGGGCGGGTAAGAAGCAACAAAAACACTGCAGTCTGAAATTGTAATCCACAGTTCCCGATGGCTGCAGAATCCAGTCCCTTTGTTACCTTCTGTTCACCCCAAAGTCAAACCCCTCACAGCTGAGGGCAGGGGTTTTCCCTGCTTCCTCGCTGGCACACCCACACCCACGCACCACCTCACACACCTCAGTCCAGCAGAACGAGCAAAGCCAGGTGCAGGGTGGATGGCTCCTGGGTGCAGCCCACTGAACCTCGACAGGCTGTAGGAGCTCCCTTGGCCAGACATAGCTGCAGAGCGTGAGTTCCAGGGCCAAGAAGTCTTCTTGGCTGCCTTCCAAAATGTGGTGTCTCTCCATAAAGACATGCCCAGCGAGCCTGCCCGATCAAGCCTGGTGTGGCCAGGGGCTGCCGGCTGCCCACGAGAAGATGCTCTGGGACTTGTGTTCCAGCGCCCTGAAAGCTCTTCGCTAGTCCAAAGAATATCTTGGCTTTAAGAGTCCATACCCCTGGGACACTGGTTTTCAAGCTGATTTTAGAAAACTTGAACATAAGTGGAGCCCTGGCAGGGTGAAAACTTGAAGCCCTGTGCCCTTGGCCACCTAGCTGGTAGCTCAGGCACAAGTGCCTCATAGTCCCACAGAGATGCTGACACACAGCCAAGGCCGAGACCCTCAGAGCAGCAGGGCCCAGCCCTGCGGAATGCTGGGATCACCTGTACCTCTTAACACCATCTCTGCCTACCCAGCCCATCCCCTCTGCCCCAGGAGCCTGATGTAACTAATCTGGAGAGAGACCTGGGCATCATGGTTTTTGGGGGGTTCTGTTTTTCAATTAAATTTTTTATTGCGAGATAACTCCTGCCATGCAGTGGTAAGAGACAGTGAGGTCCTGTGTCCTCTTTACACAGGTTCTCCTAATGTTGACATCTTATAAAATGTCACATAAAAGTCACAACCAGGATATAGAGAATGATCACAAGTGAAGATAAGAGACCCTTTCAATCACTACAGGGACCCCTTCTGTTCCATTTCCCACTCACCCCGTCACTGCCTTAGCCCCTGGCAACCACTAACCTGTTTCCCATTGCTATAGTTTTGCCATTTTAAGAATGTTTTTTAAATGGAGTCATGTGATTGGCTGTTCGTGTGGATCATAACTTGATGGAGATTCATTCAGGTTGTTGAATGTGTCAACAGTTCCTTTCTATGGCTGAGTAGTGTTCCATGATACAGATAGACCACGGTTGGTTCGACCCTTTGCTTGTTAAAAGACACCTGGGTTTATTCCAGGTAGGGGCTGTTATGAATAAAGGTGGTAAAACATTTGAGCACAGGCTTTGCAAGAACACAAGGCATCATCGTTTCTCTGGGATAAATGCACAGGAGTGCAATTGTAAGGTCATTCACTAGTTTCATGTTTAGTGCTTTTAAAAACTGCCAAACTCTTTTCCAAAGTGGCTGAATGGTTTCCCATTCTCACTAGCAGTTTCTCCATATCCTCGCGAGTTTATTTTAACCATTCTGATAGTATGTTGTGGTATCTCCTTGGGTTTTGTTTCCCTGATGTTTGAACATCTTTTCTTATGCTTATTTACCATCCATCTGTTAAAAGACACCTTTTAGTAGGAAGTTTCTTCATGACCTTTGCCCAATTGGGTGATTATTTCTGCTGTTTAGTTTTGAGGGTTCTTTATATATTCTGGATACCAGGCTTCTGTTGTTTGCAAATATTTTCTCCTTTTGTAGCTAGTTTAGCTTGTCTTTTCACTTTCTTAACAGGGTTCTTCAGGGGGCAAGTTTTTAATTTCTAGGAGTCAAATTTATCAAATTCATTATCAGGTTTTCCTTTTATGGATTGGACTTGTGTTGTCAAGGTGAAGATCTTTTTGCCTAGCTCTAGATTCCCAAGATCTTCCCCTGTATATTTATTTTAAAAGCATCATAGTTTTTATGTTGTGCCTTTAAGTTCATGATCAGTTGATCAGTTTAATTTTAATAAGATGTGGAGGGGCTGAGGATGTGGCTCAAGCGGTAGCGTGCTCGCCTGGCATGCGTGCGGCCCGGGTTCCATCCTCAGCACCACATACAAACAAAGATGTTGTGTCCGCCGAAAACTAAAAAATAAATATTAAAATTCTTTAAAAAAAAAAAAGATGTGGAACTTTAGTGGACTTGTTTGTTTTGATTTTGGTTTGTTTTGTTTTTTAGTTGGTTGTTCTGCCTATTGATGCCAATTGTTCCAGGACCATTTGCTATAAGGCTATCTTTCCTGTATTGAATTGCTTTTGTACCTTTGTCAAAAAATCAGTTTAGCATATTTGTGTAGGTCTGTTTTCTAGATTCTCTTGTTGCATTGTTCTGTGAATCTGCCCTGCTGACAACACGACACAGCCCTGATCCCTGTATATGTTTCATAAAGACATCTGTCTTGAAATCAGATCGATCCCATTTTATTCTTTTTGTTTTCCTCAAAATTCCTTTATTAATTCTAGTTCCTTATTCTTTTCACACAAGTTTTAGGATCATCTTCCCTCTCCATACAAAACATCCAGCTTGGGAGGCTGGGGTTGTAGCTCAGTGGTAGAGCATTCACCTAGCACATGTGAGGCGCTGGGTTCGATCCTCAGCATCTCATAAAAATAAATAAATAAATAAAGATATTGTGTCCATCTACAACTAAAAAGATATTTTTTAAAAAAATGTCTAGCTTGGGGGCTATGGTTGTAGCTCAGTGGTAGAGCACTTGTCTTGCATGTGTGAGGCCCTGAGTTTGATCCTCAGCACCACATAAAAATAAGTAAATAAAAATAAAGGTATTGTACTCATTTACAACTTTCCAAAAAAAACTTTTTAAAAATTTCTAGTTTGGATTTTTGCTTGTTTGTTTGTGACTAGGGATTGAACGCAGGGTACTTAACCATTGAGCTACATTTCCAGCACCCACCTTCCCCTCACCCCTCCACCCACTTTTTTCTTTTATTGAGACAGGGTCTCACTAATTTGCTGAGGCTGGCTTTGAACTTGCAATCTTCCTACATCAGCCTCCCAGGTTGCTGGGATTACTGGCTGGACTTTTGATAGCAATTGAATCAAGCCTGTACATATAGCAAACCTGCTGGAAATATTCAATACTTTATGTTGTTGTCTTTTGATCCATAAAAATGTATATCTGTTAATTCATTTAGATCATCTTTGATTTCTTTCATCAGCATTGCAAGGTTTTCAGAACATTCTAAACATATTTTTAGATGTATATTTAATGCATTTTTTATACATTGCTAGTATATAGAAATAAAATGGATTTTTATATATTTCTCTTGTATCCTGTGACATTGCTGAATTCACTTATAAGATATGGAATTTTTCTTTTAGATTTCTTGGGATTTTTTTTAGATTCCTTTGCTTCCCTTTTCTTGCCTTATTGCTCTGGCTATAACTTCTAACACCATGTCAAATAAGAGTGGTGAGAGCAGAAATCTTGCCTTGATCCTGATCTCAAAGGAAAAAGCATACCATTTTTCAACCATTCAGTATAATGTAGCTCTAGACTTTTTCTACATGGTTTACATTAATTTTGTGAATGGATTACTCTATTTTTTAATATTAAACCAGCCTTGTATCCCTAGAATAAATGTGACTTATCATGGCATATAATGCACTGTTGCATTGTTGAATTCTATTTGATAATATTTTGTAAAGGATTTTGTATTTTTATTCATGCAATTCATTGCACTGTCTTGGTCTAGTTTAGATATCAAGTTGGGAAATATTTCTTTTCTGTTTTGGGGAAGAGATTGTGCAGAATCGGTGTTAATTCTCATTTAAGCATTTGATAGAATTTTTTTTTCAAAGTAATCTTGAGTGGTGTTGAGCCTCTGGTTAGCTGTGCGTTGTGAAGTCTGACTGTAGCTGTTGCTCTCCTAGGTCTCAGCCCCACAGAGCTGCCGTTTGATTGCCTCGAGAAGACAAGCCGAATGCTCAGCTCCACATACAACTCTGAGAAGGCGGTTGTGAAAACCTGGCGCCACCTTGCTGAGAGCTTTGGACTGAAGAGGGACGAGATTGGGGGCATGACAGATGGCATGCAGCTCTTCGACCGCATCAGCACGGCGGGCTACAGCATCCCAGAGCTGCTCACAAAACTGGTGCAGATTGAGCGGCTGGATGCTGTGGAGTCCTTGTGTGCAGACATACTGGAGTGGGCCGGGGTGGTGCCACCCACCTCCCCACCCCCCACTGCATCCTGAGGAGCATGCTTCGGACTGTCCTCCCTGGGATGAGCGAGGCAACCAACAAGGCCTCTGCAGCTGTGAGTGGCGCCATCAGCCTGCCACAATCCAGGCTTTTCCTGATGTGTCACCGTATGCCTTCAGCTGCTCCGAGGAGCAAGGGGAAACGAGGCCTGTCTTCCAATCCAACAAAAGAGAAAGGATTAAAGCTGGGAGGCTCCCAGCTCCCCACTTGACCTCACCAGACAGAATGAATATTTATTCGTTGATGGGGCCAGCCAGCCAGCCTACCATCAATTCACCCAACAGACACTGTTGGGTACTCAAACCACGTGGGGACAACAGAAGTGAAGAATCTGACCCTGCTTTAAGGAGCTTACACTCAGTGGGAGATGGAAGACACGTCCACAAACCACTTCACCAGAAGAGATCAAATGAGCTAAAAGAGGGATACTGAGAAAATGTAATAAAGATGCTAAGAAGTGAGGTTTCCCACAGGGGTGATGAAGGAGGGCATCCATGAAGAAAACAGCTCAAAAATTGTGGCCAATGGTTACAAAGTGCAGATTCCCTCATAGTCTGCTGGTATCCGTGTGGTCTCATTGGGATAACCTGAGCTGTCCTCAGGGTCACCCACGTTCCTACAGGCTGTCCAGTGGGAGCACTCACTCTGTCCTGCTGTTGCATGCAAGTCATGTGTCTGTCCAGTCAGCAGACATGTGGTTCTTGACTGCAGAGATCGAGGAAGTGAGCAGTCTAGATCATGTATGAATGGCCTTCCACTCTCACCCTTAGGCCAACATGGTCCTCGGGGGGCAGCAACACTCAAGGACACAAGCAGCTTAAGTCATGATGTGGTCAGGCAATATTTTTGCTTTAAACAGATATGAGTGGTCACCTCTGCTCAAGTACATGAAGACATCCTGAGAGTCCAGCCGAACATAGTTCTAGATGGCAAGAGCGTCCAAGACGTGTAGGTGAGGTCGTGTTGTGAGGGTTTCCAGACTCAGCTCTCTGAGCCAGTCAGGGACAGTGGAGCCTGGGGTGCAATGCAGAGTCCGAGACTGGGTCCTGGGCCATTTTCTTCTCCATCCTCAGCTTCAGTTTGACTTTCACAAACGAGAGGTTGGGCCTTTAATTCTGTCGTCAAGAAAAGTGGGCAAAAAGAAAGTAAAGCCAGGAGTGGTGGTACCCACCTGTCTTCCCACTGACTTGGGAGGCTGAGGCAAGAGGATCTCAAATTCGAGATTAGTCTTAGCACCTTAGCAAGACTCTGTCTCAAAAGGGGGGGGGTGGTGGCTCAGTGGTACCGTGCTCTGGGTCCAATCCCCAGTCAAAATAAATGAAGAAAGAAAGAGAAGAAAAGGAAGGAATGAAATGCCTGGCCCTGGAGGCACTCCAGGGAGCAGATAAAGTGTGGGTCATCAAGCAGAAGGGGAGTAAAAACAGAAAAGCTCACAATTGGCATCTTCACAGTAACTGCAATTGTTTGACACAACATTTATAGAGATAAAGTTAATAAACTGGCATTGTTCTTGGCAGATTCTCTAATTCCACCTGCAGTTGGCAAGAGCTGGGGGGGGCAGAGTAGTGATCACACCAGGGGGTTAATGTTGAACTTGCTGCCGAGCCCCCTCCTGATAGGTCTGACTGTGGTGATTACTAAATGAAAATAAAGTCCCTGACTTATAAAGCGATGCTTTTAAAATTATAAGTCGCATGACTGAACAAACGCTTTGGGGGGAAATCAGTCGTATGTTTAAAGCCAACAAGCAATTTCCCACCGCTGAATGTAGAACATACTGTGAGAGGATCATAATTAGGTCCTGAATATTTAATATCATCATTTACTGTGTCTGTTTGCTGCTGTTTTTTTCTGAGTCTATTTGGTGTATCCTGCAAGCTAAATACTCCGCAGCAAAGCTTAATTATCCTTTTAATTCCTCTTCGAAATCCTGCGGTGCCCCTTTCCCCCTGCTTTGCAATAATGATGATGAGAGTCTACCCTTAATTAGACTGAAAATGTCACATGCGATGAGAGAGTAGGCCCAAGATAACAGCTCACACCCTCCTTTAAACAGTGTTCTTAGGGAAGGCTGTTCTGGGGTGGTTGGAGGCTGGCCTCGATTCACTCTGTTGGATTGGAGGCCAGAGGTCTAGCGAACATGGAGCATGCTCCATTGGCTCGCAACCTGCCATTCTTCAGGAGCTGGTCCTTATATGGTTGCACATTCTCTTGTCATTTACTTATTTGGAAACAAATCCAAGAAAGGTTTATTCCATAGAGATTTTTGCCTACACTAGGGAATTCATAATCAGTGAGGCCAAAATGATTCTTATTGACAAAGCTGGGACTCTCCATCCTGCCATTTTGTCTGGAAACAGTCCAATTTTGCAAGACGTAAAAGCATTTAGTGAGCACCCCAGGTTAGATCTGTGGCCCTTAGCCAGTGAAGTCTTAATTGTGGACACTTAATCTATTTCTGTATATATAACTTATTATATTTTATAATCGCAATAAACCTGCTAATAAACGGAGTCCCGCAGACTGGTATCTTTGTGTGCTTGATGGGGAATGTGAGTGGAGAAGGGTCTGACTGCTGTCTTCCCTGGTCATTGATCTGTGTATGATTAGACTATAGGATTGCATCCAGCCATAAATGAAATGCCTAAAATGTCATGGCTGGGCCATTCATCATCAGCAGCAAGTCTTACAAGGAGATGGTGTAAAAACCACCTGGAGCCTTGCCTTCCAAATTGTCACCATTAGCTCATGAAGCAATGTGTCACATAACTACTGCTGTGTGACCAAAACTGACCCCAGATTCAGTGGCTTAAAGCACAGTCATTTCTCATTCTGGCTCTGGGTTCAGTAGGGGTCAGTAGGCGGTCATCTGATTTGGGCTGGGCTCAGTTAAATGCAGCAGGCTGGGGCCGCTGCCTTCTGGGAAACTGTAACTGGGCAGCTCTGTTCCACTGTCCATCCTCCTCCTCCAGTTAATCAGTGAGCCTGAGCATGGCCTCATTATGGCAGTGACAGAAAGTCTCAAGAGCAGAAACAGGCGGTCTCTGGGTTCAAACTGCTCTCTTGTCACTTCTGGCTTGTCCCATTGGCCAAAGTCACACAGCCAAATCCAGAGTCCAGAGTCAAGAGGGAGACTCCACCCCATTTGCACGAGGAATTAATCAAGCAGAAAAGGACATGCATATGAGAAAGTGTTATCCCTATAGGATATGGAAAATGGCAAACCCCAAAATAGTGGGACTTGGGGAAAGGAAATGAGAGAGAAGGCAATACATTGATTCCTTTCCAATATATTTTTTTTCCAATGATAAGACAGGCTCCAGGGAGGAGATATCCATCAGGTCTGGAATGACTGTCTCTGGGAAGAGACCAAAGCATTGATCCTTCCCAAAACAAACCCTTTTCCAGATACTGACCACTGACCCAAGACCCTCCATCTAACCCAATAAAGATAAATTCCAGATACTGATCACTGACCCCAGACCCCCCCATCTCACCCAGTAAAACAGACCCCAAATTCCCCAGTGCCCAAACCTCTCAGTATAACCTATATAAGCCCAGATCCCCGCTTTGGCCAGTGGCTCATTTTCCATTGGAAAAGTGGGTCCATCAGAAGCATCATTCTGTTCCTGAAAAAAGACTTTTGCTGATCCATGAAGTGTGTGCCCAGCTTGGTCCTTTTATGCTAACCATCCCTGTAACAAATACTTGATAACTTATAAAGAGAATAATTCCAAATAACTCATAAAAAGAAGTGGCTTATTTTGACTTACAGTTTTCAAGTTCATGGTTCCTTGGCCCCATTCCTTTGGTCCTATGTCAAGGCAGCACATCACAGCAGAAGCGCGTGTCGAAACTATTCATTTCATGGTTGGGAAGCAAAAGAAAGGAAGAAGAATTGGGGTCCTACTGTACCCTTCAAAGGTCATGCCCCCAATGACCTAAAGACCTCCCTACCTCCGAAAGGGTCCACCGCCTTCCAACAGCATCACCCCAGGAAGCAAACCTGTAGCCATGGACCTTGGGGGGGACACTCAGGATCCAAACTGTAGCACACAGGTAAAGAATTGGGACGCATGATGCAAATCTAACAGGTGTGTTGGTCTCCTGAGGCTGCTGTATCACTTACAATCTAGTGCTTAAAACAACATAGTCTATTACCTTATAGTTTGGAGGTCGGTCAGAAGTCCTAAAATCAATGTGTTTGCAGGGTTCTGTTCCTTCTAGAACTTTTAAAAGGGAATCCATTTCTTAGCGTTTTCCAGCTTATCGAGAGCCTGTACTCCGCAGTTCATGGCTCCTTTGTCTTCCAGGCCCACAGTGGCCTCCCTTCAAACTCTCTGCTCCTCTCTGACCCTCCTGTCTCCCTCTTCACCTCATGAGGACCCTTGTGAATCCATTGTGCGCACAGACAATTGGGGATCAGCTCCCCCTACCAGGATCCTTCATCTGCGAGGCCCCTCCTCCAGGTGGGGTGACATATTCATAGCTCCTAGGGCGGACATCTTCGAAGGCCTCTCTGCTTTCCACAAGTGTGAAGTGGAAGAAGCTAACAACTGTAGGGGCAGCACTCTGTCAAAATGCACTTCCCGGCGGGGTCCATTTGAGTGTGTTGACAGAATGAAATGCCAGCAGCAGCTTTCGCTTGGCCGGGGATTCTGCACCAGCGGGTGGAAAGCTTGTGTGCCACACCCAGGCCCAGTGGGCTCAGTTGGGCTGACTGCCCAAATGCAGGTCTTGTTACCAGAACTGGGCCAAAGGCTGAGCTGCAGGGCTATCAAATGTGCAGGTCTGGCCACCTGCCCCAAAGGCCCATCCAAGAGATGGCTGTGGTGAAGGCAGGAAGGGAGTTTATTCTCAGTGTGACTGCACTGGGAAGAACAGAGAGAAATCTGTCTCTAAGGTGCTAACGGTAGTCCCGGGGTTACACAGGAAAGGAACACAGGTAAGGGTGGGGGACCTGGGTAGCTGTTGCTCTAGGCCAGGCTGTGGT